TCTCATTCTCATTCTCATTCTCATTCTCATTCTCATTCTCATTCTCATTCTCATTCTCATATAACTTTATTAATGATTATTTTGCAAATAACTAATCGGGAAAAATGCAAAGAAGTGATTATTTTTAGTTTTCACTTACTAATTTCCCCACTCTTTGATATTGTCTGAATTACTTCTTTCATTTTTCATATAGTTATACATCAGTAACGCTTAAGAAGGTCTTAAGAACTGCAAATAAGCACATTCTTTGGTTTGTCAGGGCAAATTGCGTGACACGTGACCACTACAGTTTCCGAGAAATTGCAGATTTCTTAGAAAACGCTTTCTTTGAAGAAGGGGAGGCTTTCATTCATGCTAGAAGTTCAATTTTTGGAATCAGTGCCTTCCACAGAAAATTTTTTGATAGGAGATAGGCATCCTCTAGAAGTACGCTAGGCGAATTTCATTCAATTTCACCAGAGAAGATTCAAAATGGCACCAAGTCAAAAACGCAAGTTTGAAGTCTTAATGTACGAGTCAGAATACAGACAGATACAAGCTTGGGTTGATAAATATCAACACCTTGAGACTGGAGGAGATCTGTTTGGTTTATGGAAAGACGATCACACTCCAGTGGTGCAGCTCGTACTTGGACCTGGAAAACAATGTAGACGTACTGGAGTATCTTTCTACCAAGATATAGACTATCTTGAGCGATTGGGAAACGTATTGACGAACAAGGAAGGTTTGTGTCATATTGGAGAATGGCATTCGCATCACAAACTCGGTTTATTGAGGCCAAGTGGAGGAGACGAGAATACAGTCTGGACCAACATGAAGAGATATGGTATCCACCGATTTTTCCTGTTCATAGCTACCATTGGTTCATCATCTTATAATGTGAACATTGGTTGCTTCCTTTTTGAAATCAATCCAAATACAATGAGAAGAGAACCAGTTCTAAAAGGCGAAATTGAACTCATTGGGAATGAGCCTGAGGATTTAAGTCCTTTCCGAAAAAGTGTAGAAGACTATCTTGCTAATGGAGCTGAGTCCCAAAACTCACCACAAGCACTCGAGAGATTCAAGTCAACGGGAAAACGATCGTCCGATAGTGATTTTGTACTAGATCACAAGAAGAAAAAAGTTACAAGAAAGATACCCATTGATCAAGAAATGGAGGAGTCAAACAATGTCAACAATCAGGAAATCAAATCAGAAAATGTGATTAAGGACGCAGTAGAGAAGTCCAAAGTAAGCCAAGAGATAGAAAGTCAGGAGAACAAACTTGGTAGCGCACAGAGCAAGAATGACAATCTGCAACATGAAGACCAGCAGGCTGACCTTACTGACGAGGATAACAAAACAGAAACCCCAAAGGATCAGCCTCAAACTCCAGTGTCATCCGAAGAGAAAAAAGCGGTATCAAGTTCTAGTGACATGCCGAACATAGAAATAACCAAGGTACAGGAGAATAACGACGTCCAGGCTGAGAAAAAGAAAGTCTTGCATGACAAAGAATCTAATGATGTGCAAACAACCGAAGAAAGCAGTTCAAAAGAAATCATACCAAACCATAAAATCATAACTGTTAAACCGATAAACGATAACAGCAACGCTAACCCACCTCAGAATGCCCAAGCTTTGGATCAAAATGAAGACCCTGGAAAAGAATACACTCCTCCTTGTGGGCCACAACAACGTGCAAGTGAAATACGCGCTGATGAATTTAAAGATGCTCAGGAAAACGACGAAAGAAAGCAGTCAAGTGCAAAATGTAGCGAAATTGAAGAAGCAAAACTTGAGGGTGAAACGATAAATTTGCTTGAAGATAAAGATTTAGGTGAAGAAGATGAAAAGATGGCTTCTTGCAAATATTTTTGCATTTCGAAAAAGAAAAAGAGTGGCAGACCAAAGAGAGAAAAGAAAGAAAAAGCGAAAGGAAAATATGAGATGGAAGGTATGACAAAAAAAGAAAAGAAAGAGCAGAAAAGGGTAGAGAAAGAAAAGGAAAAGGAAAAGAAAGAAAATGAAAAGCAGAAGAAAGAAAAGGAAAAGAAGGAAGAGGAAGAGAAGAAAAAAGAAAAGGAAAAGAAAGGAAAGGAAAAGAAGAAAGAAAAGGAAAAGAAGAAGAATGAAAAGAAAGAGAAAGAGAAAACAAATAATGACAAGAAAGTAATAAAGAAGACGGAAGAAAAGAAAGCACAAAAAGCTAATCAATAACATCACCAGCAAAAATTTTCGCCTTCCTATAATTGAATAATTTTGAAAGATGGAACAAAAAACAATGCCCATCGTTTTCTCAAAAATAGCGATTTTATCAAAGTAAGTTGCGAATAATAATAAGATATTAGATTCTGTCAGGAACTTGAATTCTAGTAGATAGTTTGGCTGCGATACACATATCTAACGTAAACGTGATTAATAAAAGGCCCACACACACAATGCGGCGATACTCAGCGCTGACATTAATTGCAACAAGAAAATCGTGTTTCCACTGGTGTAAATGATGGACGTCACACACAACAGATGCAATTATCCCGTTACAAGCAATGTCTTTCACAATTGTGTTCGGGCGTTAACTTATAGCATCTTTATATTTCAATCAACAGCTTTACGCAATACTCCAGTTTCGAGTTCTCTTTGCTCTGCCTTAGTCTCGGTTGTGCGTTATGATATTCAGCTATTCAACCAATTGGCATTTTGATCAACTTGTATTGTTTCGTTTTTTTATGTACGTTTACATTCCTTACTATACARTGGGCCTTAATAAATGAAAAGAACATGTGTGCACAATCGAGGCTAAGACTGAGCAAAGGTTAACTCGAAATGGGAGCATTGGAAACAGTTTCTAAAGGTCGACGTCGTCCGGAGTGCAAGATTACCATCGCTCTCTATATATTGAAACTGCTATCAATATTTGTTTCCTGATAATTTTAGTTTGAATACAATAATTTTCACAACTGTAAAGCATCTTAAAAGCAATTCAATGTATATATAATCATTTGTGTGATGATGAATTACGAATAAATATATATTAAAAGAATTAAGTTGCTTTGTATTACCGATTACTGATGAACGACTACTGTTCATTGAAAATGGATAATAACAATTGACTGTGCAAGGATCGATTTGCATGTCCAAAGCCATCTAGGCATGAATTCTGAGAAATCGAGTCATTTGTAAAATCTGCTGAAACGCATCTTAAGTTTTTTCTTGGAAATGGCTTCACGTGATGGATTTTCACTGACAAGAGATAAACAAAACAAAGCAGTTGCGAATTGAAACCACTGAATTGCTGAACTTTGCCAAACCTGTACTGACGGGCTCAAGAGACGAAGTAGAAAATGAGTTCACAACGAGAAAAGATTGCGAAATTTATGGAAAGTCCTGATAACAGCGAGACTATGGTGTTCGATCCTGCGACAGGTAAACTTATTGTACAAAATAGATTTACAGCGCAGAGTGAACAAAAAAGAATCGAGCAACATCTGTTGAACCCTGATGAAGAGAATCGAGTTATGGTGCATGATGAATATACAGGAAAGCTCAAAGTTGTTGATAGAGCAGAATTTGAAAACTTTCGTAAACTTATTGTACAAAATAGATTTACAGCGCAGAGTGAACAAGAAAGAATCGAGCAACATCTGTTGAACCCTGATGAAGAGAATCGAGTTATGGTGCATGATGAATATACAGGAAAGCTCAAAGTTGTTGAGAGAGCAGAATTTGAAAGAAATCAAAATCAACCCAGAGGTCGTCGACAAGTGATACTGGGTATGCACGACGAAGAAGGAGGAGGTTTCTTTCTGGTTCGTTAAAAGGCATCACAAGTGGTCACCAAGAACTAAACCGAGCCAAATATATGAAAATGTGACACTTACACAAAAGCATAATCACATCACTCCTGTCCTTATGGATTTACACTGGCTTCCTTTTGCTGAACGTATTAAGTTTAAAATAATTCTTCAATTAGAGATATTTCCTGTTTATCTTTATTCTAAACTCAAGATTCATTTATTTAAGTTAGCTTTTTCTTTATAATCATATTATCTATCTTATTTATTTATTCCTTTAACGTTATGTTACTAAGCGCTTAGAACAGACTTGTATAAGCGCTATATAAGCCATATATATTCTTGGTTAGTTTCACTTACGTCATCATGAATTTCAAAAGCGTAAATTCGCATTATAATGAAATAAAAGTTTCATATTCTTGTAAAGCGGTCCAAACTACATATACTGGCCAAATTTTAAGGCTGTAAAGCATTTCGTTGCGGAACTATAGGCGAGTAAACATGACGCAATTTTTGGTTGAAATGTATGGAGCCGCCATCTTGGTGTTCCAAGTAATAATAATAATAATAATAAACTTTATTTAACACAGAATCCATAAAGTTAAAACGTATTTACAATGGAGCTGTGTAAAATACACACACACACACACACACACACACACACACAAATAGATTAAAAATATGTAACTATATAAATATAAGAATAAATAAATATGAATATATATACACCTACCCGCAAGTAGGTACACCATCATGGCGGACGAAATTCTAAAGGCTTAAAATGATGGAATATTTAAATATGTTTGACTATTTTTCACTTACACATACTTTAAATAGATATTTTAAACGTGTCTAAGGGAAAATCTTTCAACTAAAGTAAATTATTTTAATATTTTCATCGCTATTTAGATAGACGTGACGGTATTGCGTGACACAAACTCAACCTTCATAACTCGGGAACCAAACATCGAAATGACTCGAGATTTTTTCTTGTGACTTATAAAACTGACTTCTAAAACATACTTGGAAAATGTCTTTAAACGATCTATAGTTTAGATTTTGATGTTACACGAAAATAAATAAATACATTTAAAATGATTTGGGTTGTTTTAATTTTAGCGACAAGCAACTGTTTAAATTGCTAACAGTTGACCGCGCAAGGATTAATTTACATGTTAAGAGGAAATGTGTTTCAATAATGAGCAATAATGGCAAAAAGCACCAAAAACTAGACTTTCGTATGAGTTTTGATCCAAATTTTAATTTTTGGGTTAACACACTAAACCTTTTTTAAACAGAAGATAATATAGGTAAGTTGTAGTGCTTGGGAACGAGGTTATTCCGGGCGAAAGCCCTTGGAATTAAATTAGGAAAAATTAATTTCCGACCTCGCTGGGATTCGAACCCACGACCTTCGGAATTGTACTACCGATGCTCTACCAGCTGAGCTAGAGGTCAGACTGAGAGCAGGCCGGGGTGAAATAGATGTTAGTTCGCGGTAATTATGATGCAAAGRTGAGAGTATGTGGACCGCGTGGCACTAATGAAATAGTAGAAGATTCGCCCGGAATAACCTCGTTCCCAAGCACTACAACTTACCTATATTATCTTCTACTATTTCAGTAGTGCCACGCGGTCCACATACTCTCATCTTTTTTAAACAGTTAGAAACTGATGTACTATCATAAAATGCCTGTTTGAAGCGGTATTTTCAATTGTACAAAGATGTTTTGTTGCATTTGTGTTAGAATGTTGCTTTGTCAGGCTTTTTTATAGAAAATATATAGGAAATAAGCGAATGAAGGCCTAAACCTCATTTTCGAATAAAATTTTTGCTTTGGGTTAACACAATGATTCCACTTTCATCGGTCATCTCCGCTTCCAAACAAGTTAAACTTTCTGAATAACAAGATTTTAGCCTTGTACAACAGCCTTTCTTCAAGAAAATAATTTTTGGGGCTCACTGCTTAAATACGGAAAAGAATTCCCTCTTAAAGCTATTTAACGTGAATTCTCGAAAGTTTTTAAAATCTGCTGAATCGCATCTTGGGAATTTCTTAGAATTTTGTCACGTGACGAAGATGGAATTTCCAGTCAAGCGCTAAACAGATCGAAGTAATAGCGAGCTAAAACTGACTGAATTTCTAAACTTTGCCAAACCTGTACTGACGGGCTCAAGAGACGAAGTAGAAAATGAATTCACAACGAGAAAAGATTGCGAAATTTATGGAAAGTCCTGATAACAGCGAGACTATGGTGTTCGATCCTGCGACAGGCAAACTTATGGTACAAAATAAATCTACAGCGCAGAGAGAACAGGAAAGAGGAAATGATCGAAAGGTGATGCTGGACATGAACAAACCAGGAGCTGGAGGTTTCTTTTTGTTTGCTGTTTAGAAATTAATAATCAGAGGGGAAAAGCCGCGAAAATGGGACCAATTTTTAAAGAATAACCTGACACCGTCATTCACCGAATTTTGTGTGACTTCAAGACATGAAAGGATCTTAGCTGAACTATAAAGATTAATACATGTAGTTCAAAAATCAAAACTATTTCAGCAAAACAAGACTATTAACTTGTGCACCATAAATTAAGATTTTTTTTCACTTTTTTTAATTCACTATTTTACAGGAAAAATRGAATCCTTTTCATGTGTAATATACATATATATTTATTTAATAGGTAAATTACAAGTTGGTGAATAATTTTTTTCCTTTTGAGAAATAAAATGCTTTCATTGCATTATTTTGTGTAATGAAGATTTTTTAGCGTATTTCAGTCCCTCGTTAATGACATTCGACAGTCATTGGTGTAAGCTATAATTTTATGATTATATTACAACGTACGATTGTGGTTGAGGAGTCGTTATCAACATTTGCCTTAAAGGGAATTTTCCCTTTACATAACGAAAGTGGTGACTTGCAAAAAAGTTAGCAAGGCTTAGAAGTCAGTCAGTAATAAATTACTCGTCTTCCTTACATTCCAACATCAGTTCTACTGAAGTAATGGTGGAAAAGAAAGGAAAATGTCAAGTGACTTTGATTTTGACCCAGAAACGTGTAAATTAGAACCAAAGGTCTTACTGAGAGATGAGGGGGAAGTAAGAAACCGTGAAGAATATTATAAGGAAAGACTGTCTGAGTTCAATTTTGACCCAGGTCAATCAAGGATAATTCCAAAAACCTTAAGCAAGAGATCCATAACTCACGACACGGTGACAA